TCGCCTAAGCCCTTGGGAGAAACCCTCCACACGGCGCCCTCCAACCAACCTCCGAGCCCTGGCCTTCATGGAGCAAACAGACAGTCCCCTGGCGGTGACCGCTCTGGCAAGAAGCCCCGTCCTTCCCTCCGACTCCGGCTCACTTCTCTCCGACTCCGGCTTCCTTTTCTGCAACTCCGGCTCCCATATCTCCGGCTACGGCTTCCGCCGACTCCGGCTCCGACTCCTGCTTCCAACACATATCCTGAGAGCTCTGGCCCCCCCTCGCTGCCCTCTGAGGGCCGGTCCCGCCGGACCGACATCGCGCGCTCGCCTCGCCTCGCCTCGCCCCGTCCTTCTCCCAGCCGCCTCATCGCGACGCAGGGAGAGGGAGGCACCCCTAGAGGCAAGGAGGACTTGCGTCACCCGTGGCACTTCCCAGAAGGCCGCCTAGGAAGGTTCCCAGCGCAACTGCCTCGGCATAGCCTGCCTCGCTTGACTGCCGACTCAAGAGCGACATGGCGCAGGTCTCCTTGCTGGACGGCACCTCCTTGCCGATCGCTTGCCAAAAACCCTGCCTGGAGGGACCAGGCTTCGAGCAGGCGGCGAGCACGCAAACGGTGGGGCTGTGGGCGACGTTGCCGCATCAGATGCAGAACTGGCCGCGAGCCTACGCACGCACGCACCCGACGCGGGTGAGACGCACCAGGCTCATCCCCAAGGATAAGACCTGGGCTCATCCCAAAGCTTCTGCGCAAGCGCGCTCGGTCCCGAAACTCCCTCAGGCTCATCCCCAAGGATCAAGCGTGGGCCAGGCCGCGCCGGGCACCCCCTCCCAGGGAGCGATAGGGCAATGGACGCGTGTGAGGACCAACTTCTGGGCCAACTGCTTCCGATATCGATCCTCCATGATATCCCGGACTCGAGCCTTGTACGCCTGTAGGCTGGACCCAGAGGAGAAAGCCGCCCAAGCTGGCCAATTAGGCAGATCCAACTAACTTCAGTATGTGCAGCGATGCTCACGAGCACGTTCGTCCTGGTACCAAATGGACGCGCAAGAAGATCGACATGTAGAGGTCGCATTCTGGCAACGTCGAGAAATCCGAAAGCTTAGAAACAACGTCCAGAACCGAGCGCCCAGAGTCCGAGAGCACCCAGCCCAGTTCAGCAAAGGCCAGAGCCGTTTGCTTCCATGGGGGTGGGGGAGGGGTGCGGGGAAGGGGGGGGGAGGGGGGGGGGGGGGAAGACGGGGGGAAAGCGACGGGGGAAAGAACGCCAGGGGGGAGGAGGAGGAGGAGGAGGAGGAGGAGGAGGAGGAGGAGGAGGAGGAGGAGGGCTCACCGCCGCCCGCCGCCGCCGCTGCTGCACGGCGCCGCCCTGCGGCCCTTCGGCTGCTGCCCGCCGCGGGCCGCGGCTCGCCGCTCTCCCCCGGCGGACGCGCCGCCGCCGCCTCCGCCCCCGCCACCGACTGGCTGCGGGGGGCGGCCGCCGCAGACGGGGGGGCCGAAGGCCCCCCCCCCCAGGAGCAGCGGACAGCAGAGTCGACGACGATGGTGAGGAGAGGCTGAGGATCGGAGCAGCAGCTGCAGCAGCGAGGGACGAGGATCGCGCCCGCGGCCGCGGCCGCGCCCGACGCGCCGACTTGTGGATTCCGCGGGGCTCGCCGCCCCTCTCGGGAGTGTGAGAGAGAGAGAGAGAGAGAGAGAGAGACACGGCACACCGAGGGCACATGGGAGGAATGATGCACGAGACGTTCAGGCGAGTACTACGTGCAGAACGCCACCGGCGCCCCCATTCGCGTAACCGATGCAGAATTTCAGAAAAGACAACCGCACTTGGACATGACATGATATATCCCGTACGCAGAGCTATTGTTAGGTCGGGCAAGTCCCCCATACAGGCTTATTTTGATTACAGAATCCATACCCCCATAGTGATCAAACATAGGCAAGAAATCGTCCCGCGACTATGTTCTGACCGTGTTGGAATATTCCTCCTGTAGAAGGGGCAGGCCTGACTCAAAGCTAGTGGGTTGTGAAACTTGAAATTCACGAGCTGCGAGGAAGTCTCGTGCGAAAGCCCTGGCCCGACTCACGCCTGGAATGCGCCCACGGAGAGCAGGGCGCAGCGGAGGCGCAGGGCGCAGCGGGCGAGGAGAAGGCAAGCAGGAGAGAACGGGAATGGACATACGAGGGCAGCTGGGGAGAAGGACTCGATTCGACTCGATTCGCTCGGATGCGCCAGTGTGTCACTGCACCGACCTTGCAGATGTGCCGCAGCGAATTGTTGCGTGGGTTTCTGTGGGTGCAAGACCCCGAAACGGCAAAAGAAAAACGAAATGCCTTTCGCGTGGATTGTTTTAGCCTTCGTTCCTGGCCCCCAAACCCCCGCACGAAATTCACACCGCAATTTTCCAGGACACTCGGGGCCCATCCTGCCGTCTTCCGAACGAAATCCGCTCTGCGATGTTGGCGCGATGAAATGTTTGGGCGCCCGAGTTATCCGGGGTAACTCGGGTCCGGGGTAACTCGGGTTTGGATTCCCGAAAAAAGAACCCGAGTTAGCCCTGACCCGAATTACCCCTGATGATGTGGGGCTCTAGACGCCCGAATTATCCGGGGTAAGTCGGGTCCGGGGTAAGTCGGGTTCGGAATCCCGAAAAACGAACCCGAATTTGCCCTGACCCGAATTACCCCTGATGACTCGGGGCTCTGAAATGTGGCCAATGTTTCGTGCCAGCAAGTAGGCGCAAAGACTTGCCCGCAGCGGCGGCTACCGGCAAGCCGGGCGTGGCCCCCGCGCCGAGAACGCCCAGCGAGGCGCAGGCCCTGGGCCCCTCGGCGGGGGCTCGCGCAACCATCGCAGCTCGCGTCAGCGTGCATGGCAGGCGGATTATGGTGAACGGGACCACGGACACGCAAATAAATACACACAAGTCCCGGGATTCATCGGATGTTATCATATTTTCTGGATTTTCGTCTTCCCCCCACTTCCCATACTTTCCTAGGGATCGGCGATTCATTGAGTCTGTGTGTTTTTTCCCTTCCTGATGTGGATGGGATAGGAAACCAAACATAGCAAGCGCAGAAGCCAAGAAAGAGGATGAGGAGAAGGGGCAGCAAGGACCAGGGAGACGGCACCAAACAGCGAGAGGGAGGGAGGAGGAGAGGACGAGGCGGAGCAGGGAGACAAGAAAGAGGAATCGAGAAATCAAGCCGGCTGAAACATCGTTTGTCCAACCTTGAATGCAGTCTGGTGCATGTTGCCACAGGTAGCAAGCCAACATTGGCCGGCAATCTCGAGAAACATGTCTGCAGATTGGCACTCCGAAGACATCACACTACATGGGCTTCCCTCGCAGACATCTCCCGGGTTGCTCGTCCAACCACTGCTGCACGCGGCGCTCCAGATCTCCCGAGGGGCGGCACGGAACCCATGGCCCTGGCGTCCCGAATCGTGCCAATGCACCGCAGCAAACCCGGCTTCGGGCACGCGGAATACACGTGTTGCATTCCATTGGAGTTCCGTGTGCGACTCGTTGTGCGCGTCCGCCAGGCGGAAGTGCTTCACCTCTTTCTGGATGTGCTGCCAAGCGGTCTCCAGACCCATCAGCTGGAATGACTGAACGCAATCCTGGATGTTCTGAACCATTTCCCGGCGATCGTCCTTCAGCGAGAGGATGGCAATGGAAAGTGTCGAAGCCCCACTGAAATGATGGCCAACCACGCGAATGACTCTGAATGCGACTTGGTGGTCCCCTGCCCCATACTCGGGCACAGCTCGCACTCTGCCGGGAGCATCCAGCACTTTGGGTGACCCAAGAGAGGGTGCAGCTGAAACAGGGGGAATGCAATACTTTTGGAGCAGTTGTATTGCAAATGTATTGCGCCGGAGAATCAGATTGCATTGTATTGCAAGAAATGCATTGCGCGCGACACTCCAGCGATAGATTTGCGCACAAATCTATTGCACCAAATCTACTGCACAACCCCACTTGTCGCTGGACCCCCTTTTGGGCCAACCCGACGCACGTCAGAAGGTTCCCCCGGATAAGCCCGTCTTGGTGATCGTCCCTGTCCATGTTCTGGCCTCTCTCTCTCCGCTGCGCGGACTCTTGCGCGAGGCGTCCGCCTCTCCGCCGCCCTCGTCGCGGCCCCCGGGCGGCTGGCCGAGGTCCATACCGACGAAGATCTGTGTACATGTAAGCTCGGTGGGCCAGCAGAGCCCCGGCAGGCACTCAAGCTCGATGAAGGACGGCGACAGACGAGAACCGATGTGCGTACCACACACAAGGCCTCCGTGATCGAACTCGTGCGCTGTTGACACGTATCGCTGCAAAGAGAGATCAACGCTACAATATGTGTAAGTGAAGGCTCGGAAACCATGGACCTGGGCACTGCGGCGCGACGAAGAACACGACATGCACCATGTACACGTATCGCGAAACACCAGGGAGGATACACTGAGAAGGACTGGAAGTTTGCTCCGTCTGCGCACCTGCCGTGCATAGGTAAGTCATGAAGCGACGCTTTGACCGATCTCGCCACAATCCACACCCATCTGTTTGAAGCGTGTGCGTTGGAATGACTTGTACGCACTGGATAATGTAGAATACGCATGGTAAGCAGGGGGAGGTGGAAGAGTATCAGTTGGGGAGAAAGGGGGAGCGAAGCGAAGAGGAAGACGAGGCGATGCAGAGGGAAGGGGAAGAAGAGACGGATCGGAGGGGGGGGTGGCAGAATAGAGAGGCGATTTGCAGTGTGGGAGCAGGGTCGGAGGGGCGGGGAGCGGAGGGGGCGTCAAGGGTGACAAGGGGGTGACCGGGGGGCACAAGGCGAGAGAGAGGGTGATGGGGGGCGGGATGACCCTTCATCTCCCCCCCTCGCCCTCATCAGGAGAAGGAGCAGCAACAGAAAACGAGGAGGACAGGGAGGATGGAACCGACACGAGAGAGATTAAGAGGCAGGGGTCGACGAGGGAAAGGATAATGATTCGAGCAGGAGAGAGGGGCGGATGAGGAGGAGGAGGAGGAGAAGGAGGAGGAGGAGGAGGAGGAGGAAGACGACGAGGACGACGCCAAGGAGCCTCAGCCCTGGGAGTTGCGCCACTGCTGCAGCCGCTGTATCAGCACGTCCCTGGCGGCAGGCTAAGGCGCCCAGTGAGGCGACGCTGGCCCAGAGGCCGGAAGCGACGGCGAGAGAGGACGACGATGGCGACGACAACGACGAACTGTAGGAGGATGAGCGGGCGCAGGAGGAGGAGGAAAGCTCGGACGGATGCGAGAAGGGGGGCGACGAGAACGAGGAGGAGAGGGAGGAGGAGAGGGATGCACGTGGGGAGGAAGAAACTCAGTGGGCTGTCAAGGCGCCCCTCCTCCTCGCTCTCCTGCCCTGCTCCCCCCCCCTCTCCCGCCTTTGCCTCCGGGCCTCCCTCTCCCCCTGCCTCCCGCTCCTGCCCTGGGAGCGGTTGCAGTGACAGAGCGAGCGCACGCACGAGGATGCCCAGGGCTGCACATGACTTTACACCATGCCCCTCACACGGTGCCCGCCTCCACGAGGTCCTTGGGACCGAGCGCCAGCCAGGGCGACTACTCGCGAAGAGGCTCGCCCAGAAACTCTGGATGAAAACCTCGACCATACCACCCCTGCCCCCCTGCCTCCCCCCCTCGGTTGCTGACAGCAGGGCTCCTGGCCCGAGGCTTCCCCGGCGCAGGGGCCGGCTCGGGACCGCGCCCGCGGCTGCTTCGGGCCTCTCTGGCAGCTCCGAGGACACCCCTCGGAGGAGGGCCAGCCGAGACGACGGCTGCTCTGACCAGGGATCTGCTGACCAGGGTCAATCCAGAGCCGGGTCAGTCAGGCCTCGCAGAATCCTGCAGCATCCTGCAAGATCCTGCACCCAAACCCGGGTCGGTGCGCCCCTGGCCATGCAAGATCCTGCAAGATCTGGCGCTCTGGCTGACCTCCGTTTGCATTGATCCCCGTCTCTTGAACCCCGACTCCCCCGCCCAGGCCAAGATCCGCCCAGGCTCGGTCCCGACCCCTCCCAGGGGTCCGCCCGGACCGCTCCCTCCAGGCGGCCCCAGAAGGAGAAAGAGTGGCAGAGAAGGCCGCGGCTGTCTTGACGGCTCTTCCTCCGAACCTTGGCCCCGGACGACTTCTTTCAGCGCCCGATCTCCTTTCCCGCTTCCAGGGGCCGTCGCACCGCAACGCATCCCTCACAAGCAGGGGGGAGTCGGAGGAAGGCAGGGGCGAAGAGCACGTGTGCCAGCGTGGGCCCCGAGCCTGAAGTTTGCGCACCCTGGATGTGAAATCTGTACGGTGCAAGTCATGGGGTGCAAGGTGTGAGGTGCGCCATCCACGTGGTGCAGGCTGCGTGGCGCAAACCGTGCTGTGCAGGCCGTGTGGTGCAGGCGATGTGGATCAATACTGGTACTGCAGACGATGTGGTGTAAGGCATGTGGCGCAGGCCACGTGGCACAAGCTGAAGAAAAGCCGCAATATTAGCAGCAGCAGTAGCAGCAGCAGTATGAGTAGCGGTCAAGCGGCGGCTAATGGGCGAAATCCTGGAAGCCCACGCCAAGGCACAAGGCGGTCACCACGAGAAAAGACGAAACTCCTGCCAACGCACAAAGCGACCCCGTTGGGGCGGGCAGAGGCGGAGACGAGGCGAAAATCCTGCCAGCCAATCCTGCAGGCCAAGAGCTCATAGAACAAGCCAGACCCTCAAAAGGCAAACACCCTTCTTGGGAAAAGAAGAGCGAGAGGAAGAGGAGCGGGACGAGAAGAGGAAAGAAGCGGACGATGAGGGCGGAAGGGGGACGGAGAAAGAAAAGGTCGATGAGGGTGGGGAGAGCAGGACGAAGGACGGAGCAGGAGAAGGGGGTGTCGCCATGACGGTTGTGTTTCAATCTGGCAGCTCGTTGCACGACTGTTTGTCCCCTTTTGTCCCCTGTTCTCCTAGCACGGGTTCAAACTTTTCAACCCCAGCGAGCGGGCGCAAGAGGATGGCTAATTAGAAGACTCTCCCTCGGAGCGGAGACGGATGCGAAGGCCACGTCCCTTCTTTCCTCCTCCACCTTATCATGTCCCCCGCCTTTTCTTCTCCTCTCCTCCTGCCGCCACTCTCCAGTGCCCTCTTCCTCCCGTCCTCCTCATCCCACCCTTCTCCCTCCTCTCCTCCTCCGCCTCGTCCCCCACTCGTCCTTTAGAGGAGCCACAAAGGAATCCATATATGTCAAACAGCGTGAACACACTGGGCCAAACAGCGCGAATAGCCCCAAATATGTGATTCGAACAATGGATGATGTGCATTCGACGTGGTGCAATCAAGGTCGTGTAAACCCGCCGACCCCAGAGGCGTGTGAGATTCAACTGTTCGCCTGTGGGCGACTACACGACACTTCGTCCTTTTTTGTGATGTTCTGGCCCGGAGCGCCCCGGCAACCCCGCCCCCTGGTCCATTGATTCTTGGGGCCCCCCCACCGAGCCTACCGATCCCCCCACCATGCCCCGGCACCCCCGCTCCCTGGCCCACTGATTCTCAGGACCCCCCCACCTGACAATTACTCGCCTGAAACCTACCGATGCCCTCCACCGCGCCCCAGCACCCCCGCTCCCTGGTCCCTCCGGGAGACGTGTCTATTTTGTGTCAGGTGCGAATAGACTCGCGGCCCTCCAGCTCGAACGCCGTGCGCGACTGCCTAAAACAGCCAGTTATAGAGATGAATAGACGCGCGGCGCTCTCGCCAGCACGGGGTGCTCGAGTGTCTAAACGTGTCGATTTGTCAAGCAGTGTCTATAATTGCTCGCCATGTCTATTCCGCCGTGAGTAAACATGTTTAAACGTGTCTGAACATGCCGAACTTTGCAAGTATATTTTGTATATAAACGTGGCTAAACAGACAATGCGCCATGCTTTGGGAACGCGCGCTAATGTGCCCGAGCATGGCGTGAACATCTGGCTCCGAGTGTGCCTAATATCGCATACTGCTGTGTTGTTGACCGACAATGCAATATGATAGAGGAGAGGAGCAGGAGGAGGAGGAGGAGGGAGAGGAGGAGGATGAGGATGAGGAGGAAGAGGATGCGGGGGACTCAGGAGGAGGAGGCGGAGGAGCAGCACCAGCAACAACAACTGCAGCAGCTGTTACAGGGGCAAGAGCAGGAGGATAGGGATGATTGATCATTGCAACGGGGCATGGCGATTCCGCTCCGGATTCCCTCCCGCAAAATTGCCCGATCCCATTTCCAGCCGTCGGAGAACAGCGATTTCGCTTGAGACGTCCTGACAACCAGTCTCTCTCTCTCTCTCTTTCTCTCTCTCTCTCTCTCCGTCCTTAACTTCCTCGTCCGTCTCTTCCTCCTCATCCTTCTCCTTTTCTTTCCCATCGTCCTACTTCCTCCCTACTCCCCAACTCCATCCTCCCAACTACCCCCATTCCCTCTAGATGCCAGCAATCCCACAGAGATTCCATGCCAGAACTCGTTTCGTGGCACTGCTGTACCATCGACTTCACCCGCAGGGCAAAACAGTGCCCGAATTTCATGCGCGCATGTGTGATAACTATGTTGTCAACATTTGCATAGTTCGCTGCGGGTCTTCTTAGTGTCAAAAAGCGTGTTTACGTTTACCGTGCCTATCCGTGTCTAATTCGAACGCGTTTAAACGTGCCGAAGCATGTCTGGACGTGTCTATCTGTATCAAAAATGTATTCGTGTCGCATTTACCAAAACGAAATGTCCAAGCATGTCGAACAATGCCCCCAAAAATGTATAAACGTGTTTAAACGTGTCTAAGCATGCCTACGTTGAAGAACACACAGAATACAGCCACGAAACACTGTAATTCACAGTATACGCGACAAATAAAAACACACACACACACACACACACACACACACACACACACACACACACACACACACACACACACACACACACACACACACACACACACACACACACACACACACACACACACACACACACACACACACACACACACACACACACACACACACACGCACGCGCCTCGTGAATGGCGCGGTCGAATAGACACGACACCCTTGCCTTCCAGGGCAACTGATCCTTGGGACCCTCCACCCGACAATTTCTGACCTCAAACCTACCGATACCCCCCCACCGCGCCCCAGCACCCCCAGGCCTCTGGGACTCTGTTCTTGGAACCCTCCATTCGAATTCTTTTGGCCTTAAGCCTACCAACAATTCCTGGCCTGAAACCGACCGATACGCACCATCCTGGAGCCCCCCGCCCGACAATTCTGACCTGAAATCACCGATACCCCCTCCCCCCGGCACCCCCAGGCCTCATCCGACAATTTCTGGCCTGAAACCTGCCGATACCCCCCACCGCGCCCCAGCACCCCCAAGCCTCTTGAACTCTGTTCTTGGGACCTCCCACCCGGCAATTAATTGCCAGCCTGAAACCTGCCGGTTCCCCCCGCCGCGCCCTGGCACCCCCAAGTCTCTGGAACTCTTTTCTTGGGACCCCCCTCGATCATTTCGGGCCTGAAACCTGCCAATACCCCCCACCGAGCCACGGCACCCCCAGGCCTCTGGGACTTCTCTCTTGGGACCACCCGACAACTTCTTGCTTAAAACCTGCCGATGCCCCCCACCCCGCCCCGGCACCCCCACGCCTCTGGGAACTCTGTTCTTGGGAACCTCCACCCGACAATTTTTGGCCTGAAACCAACCGATATGCACCACCGCGCGTTGGCACCCCAACGCCTCTGGAACTCTGTTTTTAGAACCCCCTTCACGACAATTGCCAGCCTGAAACCTACCGATACCCCCCACCGCGCCCTGGCACCCCCCAGTCTCTGGAACTCTGTTCTTGGGACCCCCCAGACGCCCAGCAAGCGGTCAAGACGAGCCGAAGAACGCCGCAAGGCGGCCCCAACAGGGAACCAAACGAGCTGCCAGCTCTTCTGGGGTCGGTGGCAGAAGCGGCAGCCTTTAAATTATATTGTGCAATTTACGTTGTGCAGCCTAGAAGTGGTGCGGCCAACAAGGAACAACACAACTTTTTGCAATCATTGTGGGAAAGCTATGTGGTGCAATTCGCCCTGCCGAGCTGGAATTTGTCAACTACACTGCTCGCGCAATCATCTCGC